AGTCGTGAGCGTGATAGCGTAGTTGATTGCGTCAATTTCAGCCCCAGCGCGCGCGTGGAGCTAAACCATGGCTTGCGTGATGCGCAGAACGTGTGCGCACGAACAAAAGTAGGTACCGTCCTTAAATAGATTTCGATATTCTCCGCCACAACGAAACACAAAGTGTATGTGATGGACGAAATCAGCATACCTGGGCCGCCACATATCTCTTCATTTTCAAGGTCTTTTGGACAACTAAGGGTGTCGCACTCACATGAGTTACCATAAATTAATCCTTTAGGATCCTATAAAAAAAAATGAACGATGGGACAACAGTGACTTTTGTGCTCTCTCAAAAGAGCTTGCAATGGCCGAATAGTGTGTTATTTTGCCATTGTCATTATTTATTAACTATTTTTTATGACAAAGGAACGAGAGCAAAGCTATGTAGCAAAATGACTTCGAAATACGACTTCAAAATCCGTAAATCACCTGCCTCAAAGATATGAGCGTGGATATCATTTTCGTACGAAGTTGTTGACAAAGACGAAGGTCTTAAAGTATATTCTCCGCAGTTTTAGCAGTACTCAGTGAGATGTCTTTACTCTAGTGTTAATAGTACCAAGGTTATAAGTTGTTCTGTAAGCCAATGAATCAATGGATAAGACACGTTTAAGACACCCCAGACAAACCAGCTCTATACCTTGGTATCGTCGCAGTAACATTTGCCACAGCTACAAGATCCTTGGCCACTACACGTACCATCGTTGTTGCTATCAACGACAAAGGAAAAACTTAAGCATGAGCGGCAAGACCGAATGGTGGTTTGGGCATTTTTTTGGAACCGTGCAAATCGATGTAGAGGAAATTTCCAAGTTTGTATGTCTTAGGCACGTGAAATCAGTTTGTTTCTTATTTCATAAAACTACACCATGTGACCTTTTTCTGATATTCTTTTGGTCGCATTTTCTTCAGCCTACTTATCGTAAGTTACACGTCAGACGTGCAAATAAAATCAATACCTTGGGCAACCCCTCCGTTCATCCTCCGTTCTGCATGAACAGTATTCGCCTGCCCTGAAATGATAACAAAAGGAGATGGAACCGCCTGAGATATAAGGTCACGGTTTTCATTTAATATACAGATTTAGCCAAGCCTAAAAACGGAGCTCCGGGGCCGGGTTGTTCAAAGCCCGATCAAGATAACCCAGCATAAGCGAGAATTTTGATTTCAGTTTGTAACTTTGCAGTGAGGTTTTCTGTATATTGTTTGGCCTTCTGTTTTGAGTTTGAATAATCTCAAACCACACAAAGCAAAAGCAGTGAAAAACATTAGTATATAAGAAAATTCATTTCTTCGGTTAACGTTTAACCTAGATCAGCGTTATCCGGCTTCCGAACAAATCGGGCCCTGATTACAACAAATTAACTCCATATGGGCCCGCGATCCAATTGAAAACCACCTTTTGAGCCCACGATATGGTCACGTGATACTGGACAGCGGATACCTTGTTTGGACAGATGTCAATTGATCACAACACGGAAGTCCAATATCAAAGAAGGACGCTATAAACCAAGGCTGCATGTCTCTGCCAACCTTGTAGCTGGAGTATGGCCGCCACCTTCGCGACCGCGCCGTCGTCGCCGTCGTGCGTACGCGCCCACGAGCAATACCGTTAGCCATTTTTACCATGAGAAAAGTGATTAAGGTGGCTGAACACAGTTTTTCATACCTGTGTTTCATTCACCTTTTTCTCTAAAACCCTTGATCTCTCGGTCGCCAAAAATGGCAGCAAGCAAGTTAATAACACAAACTTTGGTTTTTTGA